AAAATATCACAGCTGTCTGTCAGCAATAACAAAATCCCCATGCCTTAAAATTACGTAAGCAGGGAACACTGTTTTGACTTCTTACTATACTACAATCATACTCTGCATAAAGCAAACCCAATCTAGAGAAATAGAGAAATAACAAACTATGGAAATGACCCTTTTAAATCTGCTGGGTTTGTTTCACTAGCACAAATAATTACAAAGGAAACTAGACAAACAAACCAACAGACACTGAGCCCTTAATTGACATTCGTGAATTCTCTAATAAAACAACATAGCAGGAGGCAGCTCAATACCATATACATGCCTCTGGAATGAAGAGAACCTGACTAAGAACATTAAACATCTAAACCTGGCTTTCTAAAAGAAAATACTGGGATGTCTGGGTGGCTCAGTTGGTTAAGCATCTGACCCAAAAAGATGACGCAGGTGTTAGAATGATCAGACATGTACTTTAAAATAATTTTGGTAGGGGTGCCTGGGTGGCTCAGTTGGTTAAGTGGTTCAACTCAATTTCTGCTCAGGTCATGATCCCAGGGTCCTGGGATTAAGCCCTGCATTGGGCTCCCTGATGGATAGGCAGCCTGCTTCTCCATCTCTACCACTTGTGCTCTCTCATGTGCTCTCTCTCTCTCAAATAAATAAATAAAATCTAAAAAAAAAAAGATTCTCTCTCTCCCTCTGTCCCTCCCCCACTCGTGCTCGTTCTCTCTCAAAAAGCAAATAAGTAAAATAAAATAAAATAATTATGATAAAAATGCCAAAGTATTTAATAGAAAATGTAAACTATACACATGCAAAGATGTAGAAGTTTAGGAGAGATTAGAAATATGTATAAAAAAAGGAAGTAATTAAAATGAGCTAAAGAGAAACTTGGTGATAATAGACTAAAAGATCAGTGAACTTGAAGACAGTTCAATAGAATTATCTCAACTGGAATAAAAGAGGTAAAATGGTAATAATAAATAAGTAGAACAAACTTTTGAGATCTGAGGGACATAACAAATGGTTTAATATGTGTATAATAAAAAATACCACAAGGAAGGGGAAGAATGGAGTAAAAAAATGTATTTAAAGAGATAATGACTGAGAACTTTCACATGTGAAGAACTTTCACATGTTATTAATGGACAGATTAAAGGTCAGAGAATTCCAAGTGTAATAAATACAAAGGAGGTCCCATCTAGGTATATCACAGCCAAAGTTCTGGAAAAAAATATTAAATAAAGATCAGGTCTTAAAAAGCAGTCAAAGGAGAAAGACAGACACATTACACTCATGCAGGAACAAAGATACAAATAATAACTAACTGACTACCAAAACCAGTAGAAATAAGAAGACAATAAAACATTTTCAAAGTGGTAATAGAATCAAAATATGATCATCTAAGATTCTCTCACTTGCAAAAATATCCTTTAAAAATAAAGGCAAAATAAATATATTTTCAGAGAGATAAAATCAAAGATTATTTATCTCCAGCTGACCTGCAGTCCAGGAGATGTTGAAGTTCTTCATGTTATAGGGAAATAATATCACATGGAAACGCAGATTCACAAAAAGAAACAAAGAATATAGAAAGGGTAGATACCTAAGTAAATTTTTTAAAGTTTTGTGGGTAATTTTAATAACTTCACTTACTTTAAAAAGCTACTATTTCTGGGGTGCTTTAGTAACTCAGTGGTTAAACATTTGACTCTTGATTTTGGTTCAGGTCATGATCTCAGGGTTGTAAGATCAAGCCCCATGTGGGGCTCCACGCTGGGCATGTAACCTGCTTAAGATTCTCTCTTTCCCTTTCCTTCCACCTCTCCCTACCCCCAGCTCTCTCGCTCTCTCTCTCTCTCTCAAAAAAAAAAAAAGAGAGCTGTTTCTTTAAAGCAACATAAAAACAATGTGTTGTGTTCTTATAGC